TCCTAGAGAGACCTAAAGAGATTTAGAGACAAGAACAAGCTGGTTTTCCTCAAGACAGGTCATGTACTGACCACATTGCCATGCTGCACATCATTATTGAACAGTCCCTCGAGAGGCAATCCCCCCCTATACATGACTTTTGTCGACTTCTAAAAGGCGTTTGACAGTGTGAATAGAGATGTTATCTGGAAGCTAATGAGCCACTATGGAATAACCAAAAAATGTATATCTAACACACAGAAACTATATGAAGACTCCACCAGTCAGGTAACACACAAGGGAAAACTAACAAAACCATTCACGGTGACGACGGGAGTAAGACAGGGATGTATGCTATCGCCAATGATATTCTTGATGGTAATTGACTGGATCATGCTGAAAACAAAAAAAAAGACGCAGGAATCCAGTGGAGTTTCATCAAAAGGCTGGAAGATCTTGATTTTGCCGATGACATCTGCATCAACATACACAAGCCAAACTAAATCAGCTATCTGAAGAAGCCTCCAAAGTTGAACTAAAAAATCAATAAAAACAAAACAGAGGTCATCAGAATCAATAACAGCCAGGACCTGCCCATACAGCTAAATGGAGAAGATTCACGAGAAACAAACACAGTCACATATGGGAAGCGTGATCAATAAGGACAGGGGAGCGGACGAGGACATAAAATGCCGTATCAACAAGGCTAGATGTGCTTTCAACTCACTGCGCCCAATGTGGAGGTGCATGGCCCTTTCACTCGAGAGCAAAATTGGGATTTTCAACACAAATGTCAAGGCAGTGCTGACAAAGACAAATACTGATAGGCTACAGTCGTTCATAAACAAATGTTTACAACATATACTTAAAATAAGATGGCCAGACAAAATATCAAACAAAGACCTGTGGCATATTTTAAAGCAACAGCCAATGGACTGGAATCCCCAGGGAAAAAGGAAAGTGGGCCGGCCAAAGAAAACATGGTAAAAAATGGTTGAGGAAGAGGCAAAAACTGCTGGGCTCACATGGGCACAGATTAAGGGAGCAGCCCAAAACCGAGTCCGCTGGAAAAATGTGTAGTTGCAGCCCTTTGCTCCCCAGGGGCCACAAAGGAATATATGTCAAAGTAGGTATGTCAAACTGCAGTAAAATACGCTGTTTTCGCCCGCGTAGCCCAAATGAGGTAGCTTTTCACTTCACAGATTCTATAATAAAAAAAGGCTCATTTAGTAATAAGCTTAGTACCATTAGAAAGTAAATTTTTAGCCCTCTAATTCTGCGTAATTTTTATAGTTGTTGATTTTACAGAATATATGGCAGGAAACAGATTCAACCCTCAAGCATCTACTTTTAGGGTCGATTTTCGCCAATTTTCAAAGTAACAAATATTGACATATTATATATCAATTTTGTTGCTTAACAATCGAGGAATTCAAAAATATAAAAATTAATAGCACTAGACATTTACATCACGTTCAAAATGTAGATTAACCACACTCACTCAACTGAGATTTTTTTTTTACATCTAAATGTAGTGAGGTCCAAAAATCCACGAAATTCACAAAATTAACGATATAATTACACAGAAATGTCACTTAGGCATACATTTATTTGTAATTATGTCAAACTTTACAAAATATACCAGTTTATAGCTTATTTCTATAATTATTCTTGAGAAAAAAAACGACCGCCCTCCCCTTTAAAATTCTGGCTTTTAGAAACACTCTGGGGAAGAAAAAAATAACAGAGTTAAATATAGAAGGTCTATATAAAAAACATAATTAATAAAATATGTCTATATGCCAATTTTTAATATAGTTGCAGCATTTACATGGCTAATTATAATTGTTTAGTACTTTAAACATTAATTTAAAGTTACGACTGTCTGTGGCGTCATTCAAGTGTAGTGTCAGTGTAGGTGAACAGGGTGTTAGGGCCTGATACGATTTCATTAGAATTGGTAATGAACAGAATGTATAATTAGAACTGGCATATAAAAACAATGTTGATAATAGATGCAGTTGTTTTAATGCTACTTATAATAGATCAAAATGACAAACATAATTAAAACCTAAGAATCTGGAAGCGGTGACCTCATTTTACTGACACGGTTGTCAAATAGTAAGTGAATAGATCTAGATTTAGAATCTACGTAATTTTGAAAATACGCTAGTTCTAGAAGCAAAATCACTTTTAAAAACTGAAGTTAGTGATTAGATCTATAATGAAATTGAAATCAACAACTGATATGTAAGTATCTTTTGATTTTAAAAAAAAATACGCTTAGTTCTAAGAAAAAAAATTCTATGGTGTACTCGATCCCTATCCCAAAACGTGCCAGCCATATCGCATGCGTAGTCAGCTACTCAGCTGCTTATCAAATCGATGAATTTTAAAATTATATAATAAAAGTAGGTCACCCTAAAAAAAAGAGTAAAATGGCTCCCGTTTTCACGACAGCCGTCACTCGATTCATAATTTACAGAGTTATAAAGTTCTACTTTCTTTTGGCTATAGATTTAAAGAAATATTAATTTGTTATTTCTCATGCGTTCCAACAATTGTACCTAATTTTAATAAACATTAGATTAGTAAGGACTCGATTCTTTTTAGAATTAGCCCTCGACACTATACATACAGACTATTGCGAAGAAACAGACTCGCGCGAATGTCGTGCGTAGGCTGGTTCAGTGGCGAAGGTTAGAAGCCAATTTGCGACGGAAAATTTTTACTTTGAAATAATTACATTATCAATTAATTTCGATTTAAAACAAATGGCTTAAAGTCAAAAGTAAACTAAAATTTAAAAACTTTGTTATTCGCAGTGTACTCATGATTCTCGTGTTTTAAAGATAAGTCTAGTTTTACTACGTGTGCGTGCATGGTGCGAATACCGATTTTCCGCGACAGAAAATCATTAAAAATATAAAAAAAAGTATCTACGGCAAAATAATAATTATATTTTACAGAATTAAATAGATTTAACTTAACTGTTATTTAAATACATGCTTCGGAGTAAAAAAATACAATTTTATATCCGTAAAAAATTAACTGAAATTCCCGCTTTCAGCGACGCCGATGTGTCGTAATTTTCGGCAGTCATTTTGTTCAAATTAAAGTAAAAAACGCATTCAAATATACTTTTTTTACTTTCATAATTTACAGCAATCATTTCTAATGAAAAATCCATAAAAAAATAATAGTTATTTTTACAAAATATTATTTCTTACCTCATTAGTGCAGTACACGTACTTTCTAAGTAGATCCATTCCGTCTAGATTTGCATACTTCGCATCCTTCGCCGCGGCACAAAATGTCATAAAAAACGAATTCCACAAAAATGTTGCTAACGAAGCTTGTAAAAACCTTGCTCTATTTATCAGTATAAACAAAATCCCCGAACGATGTCTGGTTAGAAAGTTTATGAACGGCGAAGACCGAATATGCATTTTGCTGTACCAATCTGTTTCCTGCCATATGCAATTTACTGATTAAAAACTATCATCGAATTGATTTTTCAACGGCAGTCAAGTAATGGATTTTGCCCCCCACCCTTCAACTTGAGGGCCTTTTTTGACTATTCAACGTAGATATTTCTGTACAAATACCTGTAAAATGTGCAGAATTGAATAGCCTTTAGTGTGATACTAAAAAAAAAAAAAATGCATAGGCCTAATACTAATAGACTAAACACTTTAAATGTTTAAAAAATGAAGCAATTCGAAAATTAGTAGCCTATGTATGTACTAGATCTATGTGTCACTATGTGATTCTGAAATCACATATGGCAGGAAACAGATATCGCAAAATGCATATTCGATCTTCGCCGTTCATAAACTTTCTAACCAGACATCGTTCGGGGATTTTGTTTATACTAATAAATAGAGCTATGTTTTTACAAGCTTCGTTAGCAACATTTTTGTGGAATACGTTTTTTATGACATTTTGTGCCGCGGCGAAGTATGCAAATCTAGACGGAATGGATCTACTTGGAAAAGTACGTGTACTGCACTAATAAGGTAAGAAATAATATTTTGTAAAAATAACTATTATTTTTATGGATTTTTCATTAGAAATGATTGCTGTAAGTAATGAAAGTAAAAAAAAGTATATTTGAATGCGTTTTTTACTTTAATTAGAAAAAAATGAATGGCCAGAATTACGACACATCGGCGTCGTTGAAAGCGGGGATTTCAGTTAATTTTTTACGGATATAAAATTGTATTTTTTTTCCTCCGAGGCATGTATTTAAATAACAGTTTAGTTAAATCTATTTAATTCTGTAAAAAGCATTATTTTGCCGTAGATACTTTTAAATTTTTTTTAATGATTTTCTGTCGGGGAAAATCGATATTCTCACCATGCACGCACACGTAGTAAAACTAGACTTATCTTTAAAACACGATAATCTTGAGTACACTGTGAATAACAACGTTTTTAAATTTTAGTTTACTTTTGACTTTAAGCCATTTGTTTTAAATCGAGATTAATTGATAATGTAATTATTTCAAAGTAAAAATTTTCCGTCTGAAATTGGGTTCTAACCTTCGCTCACTGAACCAGCCTACGCACGACATTCGCAATAGTCTGTTTCTTCGCAATAGTCTGTATAGTGTCGAGGGCTAATTCTAAAAAGAATCGAGTCCTTACTAATCTAATATTTATTAAAATTAGGTACAATTGTTGGAACGCATGAGAAATAACAAATTAATATTTCTTTAAATCTATAGCCAAAAGAAAGTAGAACTTTATAACTCTGTAAATTATGAATTGAGTGACGGCTGTCGTGAAAACGGGAGCCATTTTACTCTTTTTTAGGGTGACCTACTTTTATTATATAAGTTTAAAATTCATGGATTTGATAAGCAGCTGAGTAGCTCTAACTACGCATGCGATGTGGCTGGCACATTTTGGGATAGGGATCGAGTATACCATAGAATTTTTTTTTTCTTAGAACTAAGCGTATTTTTTTTTAAAATCAAAAGATACTTACATATCAGTTGTTGATTTCAATTTCATTATAGAGTAAAGTGGCGTCTGCGGACAGACGTAGCAAAAAAAATCGGAAGTGCCGATTTCCATTGAGCGTCATTCAGTAACCGTTTCACATAGAAACAAACCGAAAGTACAGTCTTACTCCGCATTCTTTCTAGTTTAATCACGGCTGATTCATTTTGTATTCATACGCATAGCATTGAATGTATTAACATTTTCAGTGGTGAGACTCTGTGCTGACACTAAGTGCACTTTTTTTTACATTTTATTTTCTGTGCACACTTGCGGACAAGGCATATTTTGTTCATTTTGTATCTATTTAAATGATTAAAATAAACATGTTACATAAATAAATAGTGTTGTTGATTGTTTTATATATTAATATATTAGAAAACAAAAAATATGAAGAAATATGAAATAAGTTTTAATTAAATTAAAGTGATGCCTGAAAGAAACTCAGGACCCAGTTGAGATTTTATTTCACTTTTTGCTAAGTAGACACATTTGATGATCAAAAATATTTATTTTTAAAACCTAAAAACATTACTAAAAACTTATAGATCTAGATTTAGACTTAAATTTAAATATAAATCTGGAGTATCGAGAGTTCAAAGCTCCTTTTTACTTAAAGTGTAAGAAATATACTCTGATTTTTCATTAGTGTCCGCAAAAGGTTAACCCTCAAAAAAGGTATATCCCTTATGCGGACACCCCAATTTTTCCTCTAAGATGGCTTAAACAACCTTAACTATGATATTTATAGCTTTATATATATATATATATATATATATATATATATATATATATATATATATATATAAGCTATTTATAGTTAACCCAGTTAACTAAGCTATGATTGGTTCGATTTATTCCTCTAATCCGGGGACTAGGGCTCTTAATCCGGGTGAGGTTCCCTACGTAAAACATCATACATCGCAACTTTGAAAAATTCCAATTAATCTCCCTATTGAGTGAAATAGAAGAAATCGACTCAGATGTGTTTAAAAAAGGACATGCTTTGTGTTGTTTGCGTTAGTTTCGTATAAAACATTCATACAATTATTGTTTAAGCGAAAAACAGCAAGGTGTCCACACAGAGGCAACTGTCCGCAGATGCCACTTTACTCTAGATCTAATCACTAACTTCAGTTTTTAAAAGTGATTTTGCTTCTAGATCTAGCGTAGTTTTAAAATTACGTAAATCTATTTACTTACTATTTGACAACCGTGTCAGTAAAATGAGGTCACCGCTTCCAGATTCTTAGGTTTTAATTATGTTTGTCATTAAAACGACTGCATCTATCATCAACATTGTTTTTATAGGCCAGTTCTAATTATACATTCTGTTCATTACCAATTCTAATGAAATCGTATCAGGCCCTAACACCCTGTTCACCTACACTGACACTACACTTGAATGACGCCACAGACAGTCTTAACTTTAAATTAATGTTTAAAGTACTAAACAATTATAATTAGCTATGTAAATGCTGCAACTATAATAAAAATTGGCATATAGACATATTTTATTAATAATGTTTTTTATATAGGCCTAGACCTTCTATATTTAACTCTGTTATTTTTTTTCTTCCCCAGAGTGTTTCTAAAAGCCAGAATTTTAAAGGGGAGGGCAGTTTTTTTTTTTCAAGAATAATTATAGAAATAAGCTATAAACTGATATATTTTGTAAAGTTTGACATAATTACAAATAAATGTATGCCTAAGTGACATTTCTGTGTAATTAGCCTATATTGTTAATTTTGTGAATTGCATGGATTTTTATTTAGAATAGACCTCACTACATTTAGATGTAAAAAAAAAATCTCAGTTGAGTGAGTGTGGTTAATCTACATTTTGAACGTGATGTAGGTCTAGTGCTATATATAATTTTTATATTTTTAATTCCTCGATTGTTAAGCAACAAAATTGATATAGATCTATAGGGTATGTCAATATTTGTTACTTTGAAAATTGGCGAAAATCGACCCTAAAAGTAGATGATTGGGGGTTGAATCTGTTTCCTGCCATAGGCCCTATAACTTTTTTATTAGCATTTTCAGAAAGGTGGTCCTTGTCACTGACTTAGATCTAGAAATCTATAGGCTATTGAATTGTTTATCATTTCTGAGCATGGTCAAAAAAGGCCAAGCTCGACAAAACAAACTGATCTAGATCTATAGACTATAGAATAAGAATAGATCTAGCAATCAATGAAATGAATACTCATGACATGAACATCATTGAATATTGAATGGTGAAATATACTCACCACAGAGGATAACGACGCAGGGTGTTGTTCTGAGATACTAAGAAGCCGGCCTAAACAATTTCGAATGCTTGAAGTAGTACTACACTCAACGATAACCCAAGGATTTCTTGCAGAAATGTTTGGCATATTGAATTTATTTCGTTCTTTTAAATTGTTGTTTTTAACATCTGGTTCTAGAGATCTAAATCTAGATTTCTAGATCTGCATCTGTGATTTCCTTTTTATAGACTATGCTTTATTTATATATATAGATCTATAGATATAGAGTCCTTTCATATGACGTCACGTCCGTTCGTGATACCTACGCCCGCCGCCACAGTGGTGTACACCAGACGTAAACACAATCAGCTGTTCGCCAGCGCTGGACGTGTTCACCAGCGCTGGACGTGTTCACCGTATGTAAAGAATCGCGCCCGCGGAAAAGGAAAAATACGTTAAAAAACTTGAACTCTTAGGAATTGAAGATCCTTATACTGTTATTGACAGTTTCGTAGATAATATAAATATGTGGACAAAATTTCTAAATAAAAATAAATAAAAATACTGTTAGTAATACTGTTTGCGTTTAGAGTTAAAGTAGCCGAATCTGATCAAATGCAGTTCTCGATACTTTGTTTCAGGTAAAATAATAAACTTCATTTTAATTATAAAAGATAACTATTAATAAAACAAATATGCTCGACCTTCACAAATACTAATAGTAAAAGACAAAGTCAAAAGTAATAATAAGAATAATAAGATCTAATAGTAGGCCTAATACCTGGCTCCGCTGGGTAGATTCTAGAATCTACTTCTTTACTTAAATTTAATTACTTTAGATCTACATTCGATTCAAAATACACCCATAATAAATCAAAAGTAGTCATAATAGGCCTAATAAAGCATTTAATTGTCTCTAAGATCTAAAATCTCGCTCTATAATCTAATCATTTTTTTAGCAAACGAAATTTTCTGAAATTGAAATAGATTGTATGACTAGACTTAGATCTAGAATCTGCTACTTAAATTAAATTGTAAAAACTTTATACAAGCATGTAGTTGATATTATTGTAGTAGAAGGCTTTAATAAATTACTAAGGCCTACCTACTTTGTTGTCTTTTTACAGCAATATGTATCTGATATTGGACTGAGTTTAATTAAATTCAAATTCATATCTAGTAATTGGTCTACTAAGTTTTTGTAGCCTAGTAGTACAATCTAGATCATACCAGCCAACAACAAATAACCACATTATTATTATTTGGTTAATGATTAGGCTAATTTTTTTTTAAAATCCACTGTTTATAAAAGAAACAAATCAAGCTAGAAACATTATAAGTGAGATGGTTTAGAATAATAACAATGGACCCAGTCTACAATTGATACAATTGCAGGTCTACATAGGGCCTACAGTCTAGTAGTTTACAGTAGGCACCTAGTGTGTAGCTAGTATACTAGTGTGTAGCTGTCCAGAGTTAAGATTCTTAATGCCTTAATGCTTTCCCCTGATAAGCCATGTGTGCTATAAATGACATAACATGACATCGAGGTGAGAAATGTTGATGGGAGAGCAGTGGGACTTTCCCCTTTGTTCTCCCTGCTGGGCCCTGAGGGTCAAATTATATAAGAAATACTATCTCTGTGGGGCTGGGTATCACGGAGGTGAGACATTTTCAGGGGAGGGCAGGGCAGACTCCTCTTTGGTTTTATTGTGGGCTAGATACAGGTGGGGGCAGCCATCATGAGGGTTGAACGTCAGTATTAATGTGTCTGATTACTTCCCTGCTGGATTATAAGGGTCTTAAATTGTATAACATGCTACCCAGATTGGTTATTACCCATGGATTATATTAGCCGTTGTAGTGTGGGTTTTGTAGGAGTTAAGTGGTCTCACGTTTGCTACAGTAGATAACCTATAATATATTACTGCATTTAATCAGCTTCGTCTACTTAAACTCTAAACGCAAACGGTATTACTAACAGTATTTTTATTTAGAAATTTCGGCCACATATTTATATTATCCACGAAACTGTATAAGGATCTTCAATTCCTAAGAGTTCAAGTTTTTTAACATATTTTTCCTTTTCCGCGGGCGCGATTCTTTACATACGGTGAACACGTCCAGTGCCCAGCACTGGTGAACACGTCCAGCGCTGGCGAACAGCTGATTGTGTTTACGTCTGATGTACACCACTGTGGCGGCGGGCGTAGGTATCACGTGATTTAGGTCACGTGTTTGCAAGGACTCTATTAAATATATTAAGACTTAAAACTTTTCATCTCCACTTTAGGAGAGGTACACTTTGGCAGTGCTTCGGCGGGACTAATTAATATGCATTATGCTTATTTCGCCGCTTTTACACTTAGGCCTAGCGTACCCAAGAGGAGATAACTTTTTTATTAGCAAATTCAGAAAGGTGGTCCTTTTTACTTTCTCGTATATACGTAGTATAGAGAAAGTATTGTAAAAGTGCAAAAAAAAAAAATCGAGATTTGTACAAATCTCGACGTTTTACACCTCACTGATACGGAAAAACATAATTTTGCAATCTTGTCCGTATGTCTGTGTGTGTCTGTGTGTCCGTGTGTAAACACGATAACTTGAGTACCGTTACAGCTAGGTTGATGAAATTTCATATATAAGTATTATATCAAAATCGTAGATCCGTATCAACTTTTGAGCGATCTCCGACAACCGGAAGTGGTACTTTTTCTACTTTGAATTTTTCAAAAGCCTATAACTTGAGTACTATTTCAGATAGATAAATGAAATTTCACATGTAAGTAAAAGATCTAATTCTCTACCTTCTGTTAAATTTTGAGTAATTTCCGTTGACCGGAAGTAGTAATTTACGCTACTTCCGATTTCTCAAAAAACTAATGTAAATTTATTAAGTACTAATACTATTGCGCACTATTATACACACCTTTATTAGGCGTTCGCTTGGTGCGCAATTGTTTTTTACTGAGATTCTATTCTATTTTTAAAAGTTTCAGTATTTAAAATGGATTAAAAATCATAACTATATCCCCAGTTACCATCCCCTGTTGTTTTATATAAGAATATTCGAGAAAGTTTAGGGGAGATCACTACCGGTTTATTTTCTGTTAAAACACTTATTTTGTTGATCATTTCTGAGCATGGTCAAAAAAGGCCGAGCTCGACAAAACACACTATAGCGATCACTAAAATAGCTTTAAATCTAGCACCATAGGTCCGGTCGAAGAAAATGGCCGTTTTCTTCGTTAACAACCACAGGCGTAGCGACCCTTCCCCTTCGATTTGCACCCCCCCTCAAACTTTTGATTTGCACCCCCCACCCCCTCAAACTTTCGATTTGCACACCCCCTCAAACTTTTTATTTGTTTTTTCAACCCATTTTGGCGCCCCCTAAGGTCGGCGCCCGGGGACATATGTCCCCCCCCCCACTACGCCTCTGTTAACAACGCACCACCAAGTTTTTCTAAATTGATGTTAGCAAGTTTTAGAGGCTTGATAGTTCAGTAAGATAAATAAAAACATGTAGCTACTTAATAAACACGTTTGTGAGTCTAGTTTTTATAGATTATTTCTTCCGTATATTTTTATTATTAAAGCTATAACGCCGTTCAATGATTAAACTTCCACGTAATTTTTCAGCTTCGTCCGATGAGCTAAACCCCACTTCACTTTGTATCGGAGTCTAATTTTTTTATGATTGCTTAGTTCAAATATTTTTGTCTTTTCTGACAGATGGTACTTTGAAAATTAACAGCAACATATTTTTCTAATCTTTTTAGAATAGCTGAATAATTTTTTTCTGTTAAATGTTATAAAAAGGTCACGTGATTGTACACTTCGTCGCCAGTGTCACAGTAGCGTAGCGAGGGGGGGGGGGGCATATTTCCCCGGGCGCCGACCTTTGGGGGGGGGGGGGGCAAAATGGGTTGGAAAAGTAAATTGAAAGGTTGAGGGGGGGGGTGCAAATCGAAAAGTTTGTCCCCGGGCGCCGGGAAGGGTCGCTACGCCTCTGCAGTGTCAACAATGTATGGGTATAGTTTTAAAGTAGAAAACCCCGCAAATTTGATGCATGGGTTGGGTTTTAGCGAAGATTTAAAACTAAATTAACTAAATAGTACATGATGTGTAGCTTGAAATACTTTACATTACCAAAGAAATCGATTTTTAGTGTGTTCTTTAATTTCAATTTTAACTATATGTTATGTTAATGCCTCCAAAACTTACCTGGAATGGGGGGGGGGGGGGGTAAGCGAGATTATTACTACAGTTGTAACAATGTCCATATATTAATGATCAGTGCACGAGTGCAGATGCATTTACACTTTGATGTCAGCTTGGAAATAAACCGTTATTAGATTCCTTTAAAAGAATATAGCCCTTGTCTACGAAAAAAACCTTGTTGCGTTCTCTGAATTATGTTGACAGTTTATGGTGACTAATGTGGCTATTGATTACATATTTTCAGGTTATAATTGTGAAGAACGACTGTTAAGACACTAAGGGTGAGAATGCAAGACTAGCAGGCTTATCTCTTTAAACTATGTAGTTGTATTTAATAAGCAAGTGTATTTTGGTGTAGCCTTACCATATCGCAAAAATTGTTGAACCACCTATGTATAAATACATATTTATAAAATAAAGATACATCGACTGAGGCATCTCTATACTACTAAAACTCAAGTTTGTTTGCATGTTTGAATATTTTTTTCGAATTGACTACGCGTCTCGCAAAGCGTGACCCCTAAAGAATAGACTACGCGTCTCGCATGTTTGATGTGCCATCTTGTAATCACATCCGCTGTGGTTGAGTCAACAGTGAGCCAGCTGTAGTCTGAAGTTCATAGACCCGGAGTTCAGAGTTCGAACCCGGGGTTAGCTAGTCTGTTTTTTTTTTCATATTGAAAATATGACGTAGACTATGATTCTTTTTTTTTTAAATAAAATTCCAACCATCGTCACTGTCGTAATTGCTTGCCTTACGTTTACTATCCCGTGAGTTTAAAATCCCACCACGGCCCACGGTCGGCGAGGTCACTGAGTTCAGCAGGCCTAAAGCATACGTCATAGACGTTCAAACGAGATCGTCTGTCTTCACTTCTCTCTTCCTCCCACCCCCCCCCCCCTGTCTCTCCCCTCAAGCAAATTTTTTTTTTTTTAAGTTCACTTAGGATTGTCACAGACTGTATTGTTATGTATCTTTATTATATTGTGTTTTGCATGAATGAAGAGTACCTGGCTAGCGGAAGGACTGTGTGAGCGATCGTCATGTGTTTTT